GTCTTATGGTGTTTGTTTGACATCTTTGATTTCTATTCTTTATTGGAGGTTTAAGGAGGCTTTTACTATGCTTAAGTTTTTTAAGGCCATATTTTATGTAGCATTCTTCTATAGCTACTTATCACCAAAGTGCAACATGTTTTTACTTTTATTGAAGCCTTCATTGTTTTCCTTTCACCTGTGGTCACTTATGTATTGCACGTGCTCCAAGAAGTTGGGGGGCCTTCCTGTTGTATTTATATTATTTTGTAACTTGTTTCTTGTTGTTATGCTAAATTTTCTCTGTTGTTCTTTGTTAATAGTTATATTATTTTTTTACACTTTGTTCTTTTTTAAGTGTGGTTGTGGATATTGGCTACCTTTAGGTAACTTTTGTTAACACTTTCCTATCAATAAAAGTTTTCCATGTTTTGTGAAAAAAAAAATGTTCTTCATAAGAAAATTAAAATTTGAGGCCATATATATAAGGAGTGCATCCTTATCTGAATTACCTTAATTTCCTTACTAGTGGTGGTAAATAGGTCTTAAAAGGACAATTTTATATAAAATAGAATTAAAATAAGAAGATTATATCTACTAGTTTTTAATGCTATCGGTAAGGGTCATATGACTGTGGTGTGGAAGGTAATGAGTATGATTTTGGTTAAAGTGCTTAGTGGATAATGATATTGATCTATAATATTAGTTTTTTTGCAACTCGTATACGATATTTTATTATTTTGCAATCACTAATAGAAGAATTAGTTTTATATTAAGAGATAACTGAGGTGCTTTGAGTTACTTTTAGGCTTAAATTGCACATTATAAAAAAAAAAAAACCATTTACTGAGATTAGGCTATTAGGAGTATAAAGTTTTAGCTTTAGTTACTCATCGAATATAATAAAATGTAATGTCCCTAGTCTTTAAATACTCTTAGAGTATAATGAAATATGAGGTGTTATCTATTTCAATTACCTATTTTGGTATTCCTTTTGGAGTTAATCCAAATAGACTTACAACATAATTTGAATAAATTAACAATTAGGTTAACATAATGACATACTATATTCTATTTATGGGTGTTTGCACTGGCCACTTTGATTCAGTCAGTCTGTATTATCTATGTTTTTCATGTTCTTGTGATGACTCATGTTGTAGTATCTAAAAGTGTGGATAACATATTAAGAGATTTTTTTTCAAGGATGACGAAGGTGAAAAAGGTAATTCATTGTATTTGTTTTTGAAAAATAAGATAAACTTTATTGATATAATATTAAAACTATTAGTAATACACTAGTAGAAACCTAATGTTACGAAACAGATAAAATAACATTAGTCAAACAAACATCATATTATGGTATATTTCAGCATGATATGTGTGTTGATGGGAGTTGAGAGGTTGACCCAAAGGCCTTATGAAGAGTGCCTCATACTTAGAGAGATGTTTCTAATCCAATGACATATGGAAAAACTTCTTCTAATAGAAATGACAATAACAAGTCATTAACATTGGATCTTTTTGAAACTAAATGGTATAATGAGAGTTTATGATAGAAGAACCATCAATTGTGAATTTGGGAGGAAGAGAAAGAGAGCCATCAACATATCTAAAAAGATTTTGATAGAATCTATGAAGAAATTAAGTCTTTCAAAAAAATAATTGATGGAAGTGAATTTGATAGAAATTGAGTAATGGGAGATAGTTTAAAAAGATATTACTGAAGAGGAGTTGGTAGAAGACATGAGTGGGTTGATCTAAGGTGAAGATGAAAGAGAGTTTATTTCAAGATTTGGCTCGGATACCATATTATTTCATGAAATGAAACGGATGATCTTTATTCACAATTTTTTATAGCATATGCACAAGTGAATCCAAATGAATAGAGAATAAAAAAGTAATAAATATAAAATAATTACATAATGAATCTAAAATATACAAGAGACATTTAATATGTTTAACATTCTTGATATGAATCACCTACTACTATTAATTAAAATACTTTAACATTATTACTTGGAGGTTGGGGTGTCTTAAAGGAAGATATTGTGTGTCATTTATGGGAATGTACCATATATCCTGTTTCTCTTAATTCAAGATCTAGTATAGGCTTTTAGGATATGGAGAAATATCGTACAATTAAAGGAGATGAAAGACAAGGAACTTTAGCAGGATGATAATTTTGTTTTTAGAGTAGGAATGGAGATTAAATCTTACTTATACTGATGTATGAGCTTAAGTGGCTCATTGAAAAATTAATTCACTTATTAGTCTCTCTTGGGTTTTGAAGGGAATTTATTGTCAGTTTTGAGCTTAATGATTGCTGAATTAACTCCTTATATTAATGTATTATTAAGGTAACACTCGCTTAAGTTAATAGAAAACATAATTCACTTGTATGCCATGTGCTAAAACAAAAGTCGGTATGAGGATACCTTAGTGGCATGACTTTAAAGGGAATATACCTACATTTTATTAGCTTGGTTTTTTTCCTTACTTATTTTCATATTTTTATACTCAACAACGTTAACATTTGATTAAAGGGCTTACTCCATTGTTTGATTGAAAACTTTGTTCTTTTTTGTTTTCACCTTATTAAAGTAAATCATGAGCTCATTTAATATGGAACTTGATAAATCATCAAACTTTTTAATTACAAGTATTACATGATTAAATTTTCTAGGAAGATTTTTAAAATATTTTTGAATTTTTTCTTTTACATTATATTCATAATTTCTTATGTAATTATAGTTATTCTAGAAAATAGATCACGTCATATCTTAAATTATTATCACTTAGTCGCAAAAATTTTAGAACTTACTAAAAATTATTTTTCAAAACCTTCAAATTAATTGCAGGTTGGGAACTATCCATAATCCAAAATTTGTGGAAGATGGTTTCATTTAACCTAGGTAAATAAAACACAATGCTCTTACATCATTCATTTGCTTTCTTTACATTCTTTCCTCTTTGTTGTTGTTCGTGTTACTTAATCTTAACATTACAAATATTTTGAAAGAAAAATATTGTCCTAATCTACTCTCGTGTAGTATATCTTATCTTACATTAGAAAAATGTTTTGATCCAAATACATTCTATCTATTGTCTCTAATAAAGATAAGCACTTAGTGTTGAGAATAGTTAATTAAAAATTGAATTTTATTTAAATTTAGAAAATTTAGATGGATATCTAATTACATAGTAATTAATTTGTAGTCAGTTAAAAGTTAAATTTTATTTTTATATTTAAAATATTAGAATAGATAACTACCATATATATGATTATATTAATTTAATTTTTATATTTTAAATTTTGAATAAATATATGTAAAATTTTATGTTGATATATATAATTGTAATTAATATTAACACATTATATTTATTTTTTATTAAAAAAAAAATAAAAAGTGTGATGTAACGTTTTCCAATAATATATATATATATGTATATATATTTGTAGGAGATGAAAATTTTTTTGGAGATGAGATGTGCGAGTAATGGAAGCCGTAGATAATAAAAATATTATTGCACGAGTTTGTGGCGGTGCAAAAGGGGAGTATAATCTGCATATGTGGCTGTAGATTATTAAATCATGAGAAAGCAAAGAAAGTTGCTTAAGAAATAAGCTTTTCATTAGCCTTAATCTCTTCCTTAACTGCATTTAATTATAGTAACCATCCAAACCCACTTAAACCCCAATTTGGTTTCCACCAATTTCCAGCTACACCAGCTGCTGCCTCCATTTTTCAAAATGCAAATCAGCGGCTACCCTGTGATTTTCGTCTTCTTCTTCTTCTTCTTCTTCATTTATACATACATACATTTATCTATATGTATAATTTACCATTCTTTAATGGAAATGGGTAAAAGGTAAGAACCAAAAAAGAAAAAGAACAAGTCTTCTACCGTACACGTACGTAATTCTATTATTACAAAAAGAAAAGAAAAATTCCATTACATTTCATTTTTACGTCCTTCTACTCTATCCCTCTATTTAATTTCTCTCCTAATTATGTCCTGTTTTGAGTTAAATTAATTATAACATTAACAATTAATTATACTGACTAGAATATGGGTGCTCACCTGTGAGACGTATGTGACCCCAAAAAGAAGTAATTTTCATATTCTGTCTTCAACTTTTGGAGACAAAATGTCTTAACTACTGCATGCCATTAATAAAAAGAGATAGGCTACTAAGATTTAGATTCTTTTCAAGGATGATTTGTCTTCAACTCAGAATATAATGCAGGGAAACACGAGTCTTAGCTTTCAAAAACTGACTATAATTGATTCTCAGAACGATTGAGATACATCTATAGTTCAAAGTTTTGAGAAACGTGAAAAGTTATAATGCAGTGTTTGGGAGAATCTCTTTGACAAATTACTGGACGATGGAATTAAAGGTGATTGTGAAATAAAAATCTTTATCTAAAATTTGAGACTCCAAACAAAACCTAAGTCTTGTTTGATGGAGGAACACATTAAAATGGAGGGGTGAGAAGAGAAGAAGGAGAAGAAGAATATGAAGACTAATTAAAACGCCATTTTCATCATCAGGTCAAAAAGTAGAAACCCACCCACACAGCGTACACACTCATAATTCCACCCACGATGATTTAATAAATATAATGCACAGTATTAGAATAACCGGGACAAAAATTCCCCACATAAAATAGCTCCAAAAAGCTTATAGTGTGTAGAAATTAATTATGTATATATATATATATATTATATGAGAGAATAGTCAAAACTAACACAAACACATCCCTCTTTCTTTGTTCCCATCATATTCATAAAGTGAAAGCCAACACATAAAGCCAGCACGCAAACAATCTAAAACATCTTTCTTGCACTAAGAGCAGCTGCAGACAAAGGAGGTGAACTCTCTCTCTCTCTCTATCTCTCTCTGATCTTTTTCTCTCTCTCTCTCTCTCTCTCTGAAGTCATCGTTTGCTTTTCTTTCACTTTTCTTTTTCTGAATTTATGGAGGCTGCTAAATGGTCACAGGTGCGTAGAAATTTGTTTCTTGATCTGTTTGTTTTTTCTGGACAATTTTGAATTTTAATTTATTCAGAGTTTTTTCCTTTCCTTTTTCTCTTTTATGACGAGGTCGAAAATGAATCCAAGTTCCACTACTGCTAAAATTTGTTGAGGCAGTGCAAGTTTGTCTGTTTTTATGTCCTTTTTTTTCTTTATAGTTCTCTCTGAGATTATATTCATGGAGAGTGCATATATATGTTCCATAGTATGTGGATGATATATCCTTTTTCAAAGATAAAAGTTTAATCCGTTCTTGAAAGATGAAAGCACTGCACTTTTTATTTCTTCACCTTTTTGCTTATGTTATTTGTGATAAAGGAATGGAAAAAGGTATTATTTGTTATTGTCATTTGTTCTTCTTTTCCATTGTTTTCTTTCTTCTCATCATAATTTTACAAGAAAGCTTTGATAAATTAATATATATTTTTGTGCTTCTTTTCTCTCTTTAATCTGCCATGGGTGAGGATATATAATATATATTTTATGTATTTAAAATCTTTTCAATTTTTTTGAATTGTTTAAAAATTAACAATGGCAGCTCTCTGTGTAGGGTTTTCAAGAGATTGGAATTGTGAATCCCATGGAGCAGATGGTGTCTAATACATGCAATCGGGGTATGGTAGAGAGAAGGGTAAGACCCCAAGAGCAATTGAATTGTCCAAGATGTAACTCAACCAACACCAAGTTCTGCTACTACAACAATTACAGTCTCACACAACCAAGATACTTCTGCAAGACTTGCAGGAGGTACTGGACTGAAGGAGGCTCTCTCAGAAATGTTCCTGTTGGAGGTGGTTCAAGGAAGAACAAGAGGTCTATAGCATCATCTGGATCATCATCATCATCGTCATCAGCAACAACAACAACATCAGCTCTATCAGCTTTAACTAGACTCCCAGATCTAAACCCACCAAGTCTCTCACAGTTTTCAACTCATCAAAATCCCAAAACCCAAAAAGGCCAAGACCTTAATCTCTCTTTCCCAGAGGGTCATCATGGTGGGTCTCAATATCTTCAAATGCCTAGAATTGAAAGCAACAAACAGCAACAAAATTCCTCCTCTTCTTCCTCTTCTTCTTACACTTCGTCTCCTCTTTCAGCTCTCGAATTGCTGGGGTCAGCTGGAAGGAATATCAACACCAGTACTATGAACGCTTTCATTCCACAGTCCATGCCGGATTCAAACTCACTCTTCCCTGCTGGGTTTCCATTGCAAGACTATAAACCAACCATTAGTTTTTCCATTGACGGGCTTGGAAACAGACCTTCAAATATCCAAGGGGTTCAAGAGAATCATGGAGGCAACAGGTTTTTCTTTCCTTTTGGGGAAATGAAGCAGCTCCCAAACGGTACAGCTGATCAAGTTGAGCAGCAAAACAAGGGGCAAGGTCCTTCAGTCGGGTACTGGAATGGGATGATGGGTGGAGGATCTTGGTAAATAAAGAATTAATGGTGAAGGAAAAAGGAGAGAGCACATGAAATTGGAACCACTCTAATTTTCTGCTTTTTAGAGTTCTTTTGTCCACGACTAACAGATGATAGGATATCACAGTATGTTTCTTTGTTTTCCTACTATATATTCTTCTTCTTATTTTGAATCTTTTGCAGAATGTAAACAGCTTTTGAAGAGGCTATTTTGGGTTAGCTTCCACATGGGCTTTAAATTTCTTATGTTAGATACTTGTGTGTTTATATAGCTAGATAGAAGAAAATGTGAATATGAGGCTGTGTTTGATGGCAAAAATGGCCTGTATTCATAAATTCTTCTGTCAGAATTATTAGGTTTCTCCTTCTCCAGTGCTTGTATGTTGATTTCTAAAGATAATATTGCATGAGAAATGAAATTTGGAACACCTGATATTCAAATGTTATTTATTATCTTTTGGCCCATTCTTGATGATCATAATTTAAGTGGGGTTCATTTGATTAATATTCTTTTCATGCTTTTGTGTTATAAATATTTATATGGGTTTGGCGATCATCTCTTTAACTCTATCTACCTAGCTTTCTTTCTATCGCGCACACACACACACACACACAAAAAGCAGGTAATGTGTGTCAGATCCGACAAGTTATATATCCACACAGCAGTTGATGAGAATGAGATTCTTCTTCTACCATCAGGTATGTTAATTAAATGGGTAAGCTCCTTTTGAAAGTTTCCATGTGAAAAATTCTCTTAATACAGTCCAATTTGGAAACAAAGAAATACAAGTTGTCAAGTGAAATTTTTCTACTTAAAATAATAACACCAGTTTACCTGCCCCAACTAAAATGATTTAATTTAAAAGTGCAGTGGGATTTAGCACAACCCTAACGTTATCACATTTCCTTGAATGATCATTACTTGATGCTATGATTGAGACTTTAAGTCTTTTTATATTCAAAGACCTGACAAAGCCTACCACACTTTAGTCTCAATAGGGCCCCCCTCAAACATTCTTCTGGGCATGCGTGCTCATAAATCTACTCTCCCCCCAGTCAATTCCTCCAACAAATCACAATACCCTTTCCACTTTTTTTTTTCCACTATATATATATATATATATATATATATATATATTTAATGTTCTTTCTAATATCAACTTTGAAATAAATCATTCTTTTGTTACTGCAACTTATCATCTGTATTTGTATAAAATATATTTATATATGCAATGAGAATCGCTGAGTGTTAGGGCTCCCATTCTCTGATGTTAATATGTTCAGGCCAGTATAAGACGAGATCATGTGATCTTATATTAGTTTCCTTAACCAAGCTAACCACTCAAGAGAATCTGGTTCAGTGGCAAAAGTTAATTACTTGCGTCTTCAACATCAATTCCATCCCCGTCACTTTCCTAATTTCCATAACAGTTGTCTATATGCCTCTATCAATTTCATTTACTCTAGCCGTAGTTTAAGGTATAGAGCATTTGGTTTTTAGTGGTAAAGGTACTTTAAAGGAGCATTTGGTGTTAATCCTTGTAGGTAAATATTTAGTAAAATGAAAGAATTAAATACGATAGAATTTAGGTTAGTGCATTTTATAAAAGGTGATATTTTTCATGTGCATGAGTCTAGTCTTAATGAATTGAAGAGACGAAGTAGAAAAAGGTTTACATACAGATGACTAGACAAAGAAAATAAAGAAGGCAAGACTAGCTACTTCAAATTGACCTAGCAACAAATTTTATGGCATTAATGCCCAAAACTGTGAGGAAATATTCAAAAAGGAAAAAGAAAAAACAAGTTCGACAATACCAATGCTCTTGCAAGTTTAAGGAGGTTTCCATGTGTAATGAGAAAATTTGTGATGTGTTGGTTAAAAAATTGGGCAGTATTGTCACCATGGATGGACTAAATATATATAAGCATTAAAAAGTATATTAGCCATATGGTATTTACGGAAAATAAGATTAGTTTGAGGCTTTTCCAGCAAAGGATAAACCTAACCCTAGGAATAATCATCAATAATGATGAAGAAATAACAAGCGCTATTTGTATAGAAGTAATTCATGGCTGTAACTTATTTGGTTCAAATTCTAATTGTATATAACAAAAAATAAATGTATATATATATATATACAACAACATTATCATTTTAACTCAATTTTATATCCAATTCAAGTTAAATATTTTTAGTTTGAAACAAAAAATATAATTTCTTATCAATTGAAATCGAGAATTACAACCGTCATATCAAATTAATAGAACCACACAAAATCAGAAGGTTCTAAACACAAATAATACTCATTCCACGACATCATTGCTTCCTTTGCAAGTGCATCGGCAACTTGGTTGTAACTCCTACAACTTAATCAAACATGCTATACAAGTAATTAATATCCTAAATAACATTTCTCGTCTATCAACTTTGTTTTTTAAAAACAGTTGTTGCGTCCTCTTCAAAATTTGTATATTTCATAAATAGTTGAAAAGTAATTACATAATTTGATAATTTCATAAATGAAAATAAAATTTAAAGATTATGGAATACCATAATAGATTTAAGATTATTTTCTTGTAACATTTAAATTAAAATTTTCAATAAAATTTCAAAAAAAAAATTAATTTCTATTTATTCAAAATATCAAATAAATATCCAGAAATGTTAATAGGGATGAGAAGCCTAAGACATGATCTCTGTGACCTAAGAGGAAATAGGATTTCAAAGAAGTACTTCTTTGAAATCCTATCAATTTAAAATATCAAATAAATATCGAAAAATTTTAGTAATGGATATACATATTGACGGCAAGTCTAATGCATGATCTTTGTGATCTATGTAGACTAATTACAAAACTCTAATTTAAAAATTTACTAAACTTTTTAGGATTTAATATAAACTTATTACTCTTGAAATTCATAATTCTTTTTATATAACCTTATAAATTCTAATATTCAATGTATGACAAACTCTACTTATCCACAAATTCTCAACCATAATAGTATAAATTTTAGTATTCTAAAATCACTAATTTGGAAATTAAGTTCTAGACAATTATATTTACATGACGCACAGTCAATTTTAAAAATTTATTTCTCTCATTATAAACCAAATTAGCCAATGATTCCACATAGCCATAAAGTAGACATGCAAAAAAATAATTTTAAAAAAGGAATCAATTGAAAAGGTTACTGAAAACTGGAGATTCAGAATTCTAAAATTGCTGTTGTGATTTGGATTTTTCCCAATAATCCTAAATACTAAAAATTTATAACTTTCTTATTTTTTATCCAAATCATACAATTTTGGTATGGAAGACTTATATTGTATAGATTATAAATTAATTAATTTTGTAGCTTAGAATTAGTCGGAATAACTAGAAACATTGAATCTTCAGAAATTCGTATTTGTTTTTCAGTTCTAATGCAAATCATGTAATCTTGGTATTTTATGAAAACTTATAGTTTGTAGATTATAACTAGAATAAGTTGTGACGTAATATTAACAATGAAGTAATAAAAAATGGCCAGAACACTATTGCCGAAATAACTCTTTTTCCTTTGTATATGTATATATAAATCATTCTTTTAACTTTTATGTATAAATATAATGTAACGAAGTTCTAATTTAGGATTTAGGAAACTTACCATTTTTTTCCTTTTTTTTTTTTTTTCTTAGGGTTTTAAAGCCTTTTAGTTAAATCCTAACAATTAGCTTATACATGAGGTGACTCTCAACCTATTGCCAAAATCTTAATATACTTTTTCTTTATTTATAAATAACCTCTTCTTATTATAAATTAAAATAGGTACCTTAAAATAATTACCAAATTCAAAAACAAGCCCTCTTTATAAGATATGTATGTGCTTAGCTTAACCAGTCCTTTATTCGACCTCTATCACCTATAATTCTCAACCATTCCTCTACCACCCAAAATAGTTGTCACCTGTTCTCCATATTTGTCTAACTCATATGTTGACATTTGTCTCTTATGAATAATGCCCACAAGCTCAATCCACAAAAAGTCACAAACTTATTTATTTCTACATTACCAAATTCCCCATAAAAAGTTTATAAACCAATTTTTATTAGATATTTCAATATGATTCGGCCGTTGTAAAAACTAGTCAAAAAAGGAGGACGAGAAATTAACATCCATCTACCAAGGGCAAATCCTCCATACTTTTTTTTAGCAAAAATATAATGTCTAAATAAATGTTTTATATTTTAGATATATTAAGTCAAGAAAAATACTTTTTTATTTCAAATTAACCCGTGTGAGTAAAATATCACCGTGCAGCCCCGAAACCAAAATTTTAAGCTAGGATAGTATCGTGGCTGACCATATATTTTGTATTTTATATCTAAATACAATGCTAAAAGATCTTTACTTGTACATCATACTTTCTACATAAAAGATAATATGATTTTACTACGTGCTAACCATTCTTCACATACTTTCGAATTCTTTTACCTAATTGTATTCTATAGCTCAAGGGGATATTAGCAATCTAAGAGGCATCAAGTGGTGAGAACTGGTTGATGGAGCGTAAAGGTTGGTTCAATTCTTCTCCATTTAGTAATATTAGCTCCACTTCCATATGAGTAATTTTCTCTATCTCTCGAGTACATACGATAGCCATGTTTGTTTGGCACCCACCTGTCCATCTAAATATTTACAGAGGAACCATTTTCCATCCTCCATCTCATACCTTTCTTTAATAAGTCTTAACCAGCCAAGATGTTACACCACATATAGCTCAGCTTATAACCAAGTGTAGCCCCATTGTTGGTTAAAAACAAGAATAGCTAACGGTAAAAAGATAAAGAATGATGTGGGAGGAAATTGTGGTATCCTTTTTTTTATTCAAAATCAGTTATTTATATAAAAGAACTTATTTACTATTTCTAGTGCTCAATATCTACACTATTAAATCTAGAAAAATTCAAAAAATATTAAATAAAATCTTAAAAAAATTTATTCAATTATTATCTCCTGACATCTTTTAAAAAGATTTTATCTGAAACTAATTTTTTAAAAAAATCTGCTGCATTCTAATTTTTAAAAACTTATCTGCTGGAACTAAAATGTTAGCTATTCAACACTCTTTCTTAGCATTTTTGTGACAGACACCAGTCCTTTTTATGAGAATTTCGAACTTTTCTTTAAGCAAAGCCTTTGTAAGTATGTGAGCATGTAGATTATTAGATTATCTAAAGCACAATGAATCAGTACCACTTCATTGGATTGTTGAACTTCTCGCATAAAATAAAACTTGATCTTGATATGTTTTGTTTTACTATGAAACATTAGGTTCTTTGAAATTGACACTGTTAAAAGATTGTCACATTTGATTTTAGTTGAACCTTTTTGTTAACAGCCAAGATCCATTAAAAGTTTCCTTAACCAGATAACTTGGTTCACAGCA